ACGCCCACTGCGATTCTTTCTTTTCACCACTCTCTACAACCAGAATTTATTAGTCGAAACACATATTGGAAGCATAATGTCATAGACGATCGATAATTTTTTAAGCAGTTTAAATAAATTTCAAACCTAGAACGGCTTCCTGGGTTCCAACGATCTCACATAACATTTAATTTGTGTTTGCTTCTAATACTAAAATATATATAATACTATATGTAATATATAATACTTATTATATATAATTATATCATTATATATAATACTAAAATATTTTTTTTTTTTTTGAGTATANGAGAGACTTCAATAAGCGATTATATTTACGCTCTATATGAGCAGTTTATTTTGAAAGTGGCATAAGTCACTTTGTTTTTAAGTCGATATATTATTATATTTAAGTATATATATAGCAGTACCATATACAGTATATATATATATATATATATATATATATATATATATATATATATATATATATATAAATAATATTTTATATATATAATAATTATATATATAAATAATAATATTTTATATATATAAATAATCAAATTCAATATTTTAGTATTTATTTACATGTTTATGTATATATAGTTCATTACAGGCACCCAACAAAAAGTTTTTTGGCGCTGATAAGCAACCGGTAAATTTTATCAGTAATTATTATTATTATTATTATTGAGCCCCAACTGGCAGACCATTTTCACAATTGTAACGACGATGTTTAAAACAATTCTGAGCTTTATTCAGCAATTTCTGAAAACATATTTTCTGTTGTTCCTAATGTAACAGCAATTTATTTTATTTAATTGTCGAAAATTGAGTACTTAAGTGAACGATTTAAATACTTCGGGGTCAAAATTGACATAACCACCGCCTTGCGAGGCTTAACGAACATTGTACGTAATACTGTTCGGTGTTTCAGTCATTCGAATGTAAATTCGAAAAGTACATGTACATCGTTCATAGTACAGATTGCGGTTGAATTATTACATGGTGTGCGTACGTACAAAAATCTGTCGTAGCCAAAGGGATAAATAGAAACAAACTACGCAACGTGAACATTCGTTTGAAATTACAGAATGGTAAGTTCGATTGATACCTCATCGTCGCCATTCGAAGACAACGGTTTAATCCCCGACGCTTCCGATGATAATATTTCTCTGTTGTAATTGCTCAGCCGGTGGAAGCAATAAGGTTATCCGGTGGTCATCATCGATCAAGCTTTTAAATCGATCGGATCAGCAGCCTGAGACGCCGCTAACCGTGAGGTGTAATTCTCTTCCGTTCAATTGAGCAAAGTAGCTCGCGTCTCTAGTACACCTGCGAAGAGAATCACCGTGCTATTGATGGAACAACCGCCGCCAGTAATTTCTCTCTCTCTCTCCCTCTCTCTCTCTCTCTCTCTCTCTCTCCCTCTCTCTCTCTCCCTCTCTCTCTCCCTCTCTCTCTCTCCCTCTCTCTCTCTCTCTCTCTCTCTCTATCGTCTCTTTCCCTCGGTCTTATTCCGCGCGTCGTCCTCCGCCCTATTCTCTCCTTCATTTTCATCGTGGCTCCATTCGCCGGCGGCTCCGGCGTGTCTCCGCACAGGCTCACCTTTAACCCCGACTCGGTCGGCACTCTCGACGCCGACCTCGGCCGCCTCTTCTGCCAGCCAGGCAACCCTCGGCCACCCTCGGCCTCGGCTCTCCCCTTTTTTCGCGAGATTTCGCAACGAGCCGAGTCACTCGAAGGAAATTTATCTCACCTCCGCCGAGAGACAGACCTTGAGGAACACGGAGTGTATGTAGGAGTCGCGCAGACTACTCCAGCCGAGGATCGACTTCAGGCCAGGGAGCCGGGCTCTTCTTAAGCCGCGCGAACACGTCGATAAATGAAGCAGGCCGGAAAGTCGTGCAGGTTTTACTCGTCGCGCGCGCGTTTCAATTTCCGTCCCTTTCGCCGTGGAACTCGTTCATCAGCCGGCAACGTAAAAGGGATTAACGATGCTCTGATGAATATATGGATTTTCATGCTCTTTTCGGATCTTTTTTCCTCCCTTCTCCACGGCCATGTAATCTCCTCCGCTAACTGCTTTCGTTGCACATCCGAGCGAGCACTCGAGGCGGAGACCCGGAGACGCTGTAATATTGTTTCTGTTTTTCAAGACCCTCCGGTGGAATCGCGATCGCGGAATTCAGCTTTCTACGAGCTTATTATGTTAAACCGATGGGCTCAATTTACTCTCTGCGATATGACGTGTCCTACGTTGCAGTCGCTTTTACAGTGCTCCGACGATTCTTGTGGTAAATCACTGTCGACGATCGTTTTAATAGTAAACCGTTGGAATAGTCGTTGCATTCGTTTCGATAAGCGATGAGTTAATTGGAAGAAGAAGTTCATATTTCGATTCAAAGATTTCGTGACCATTTATGTAATTATGCTACGAACATAATCCAGTGTTTTACACATCATTTTCAATCGATTAACTCTGTTCAAAAGTATCCAGACACCTGTATGTTTGCGAATATCATCGAACTGAAAGGAATCTCTTCCCGTAATTTTCGTTCATTTTCCTTCTATGCTTCAGTTTAATCAATTGTGTTCCACTTATTTCTCGCGTTTTAAACAAATACGTAAAATTCGAACGCAATGACAGGTCAATAACAATTCTTACAACATCCAAAACAGAAAACAAGCGAATCGTCTAAAAGGAATGCAACGCAACTACGAATGCATTATTTCTTTTTCTGACATCTAAAAAACGGTCAATCAATATACTGCACATTTTATGTATTTTTGACTAAAATAATAAGTTTAAGAATCTGACCTGCGCAACTTATCGAAACGATTCGAACACGAAAGACATTTTTATTGGACTTAAGTTTCTCATAATCAGTTTACACGAGTTTTAATTCTGCATAAAAATCCGCAGTCCAGTCATTAATGATCCGCAAACGTTAAATATCCGTTTAGAAATTAATGTACCTAGCAATCTAATTTGTGCCGCATGTTATTCGCCACTCTTTCCAGTTTCTCTTAGAAAAACTATGTTCATCAACGACCGCCGCACGGCTGGTCAAAGTAAAATTCTCCGAAAGAGAATTTCGTTAAGCTTCAAAATCATTTTACAAAAACACAACTGCGTACGCGGTAGAAATATGAAAGCACGTACCCGCGGAGGACCTTATTACAAAAATGGCGCAAGGACCCAACGGCCAGGCAACGCGCTCGAAACATTAATTAAAGTCCCGGCGAACGTTGCAACAAACTGTGAACAATTTGCTCGCTGCCGTACCGGCGTCGAACAATTTTTTGCCTCGCACGAATTTCCCAGTTTTCGAAATTTTTCGGAACAATTTTCCCGCATTTTTTTTTGTTGCCGGCAGAAACGTTTTACGGATTTCTTCGGGCAACATCATCGGCGAACTCGTTTATTTTTTCATCCGTAAGCTCGCGGATCGTAACACTCGCGAAAACTTTCCGATTTCCATAACGAGCGGTTCCTTCGGTGAACGAACCCCCTATCGTCGGATTACCCGGGGACTGAATACATTACCAAATACCGGGACAAATAAAATAAACCGTGATCTTCATTGCCGGTGATTCGACGAGCGGCAACTTAAATGCGCCGCACGCTGAATCTGCAGAAGAAGAACTGAAACGGCGAACAACAAGCTGAAACCGCCCGAACAGTTCTTCCGTCTGCTGCGTTCCATTTCATAAAAGTTGTTCCGCTAAAACGCTTCGCATAAAGATCGAAATGTGCCAACACTTTACGACATCGAAAAACGATCGCATTAGGGGAGAGTACCCCAAATTATGCTGCTTAAGACATTTATCGATGTATTGAATAAATTGGATGGTTTACAGACTTAACAATTAGTTATAACAATAAGTTGACTGGTCTTTATTATTATTTAGTCCGCGTTTCTATCAGTAACACAGTTCATTAGCTGTAAACATGTATTTAAAACCCTGCGAGATACATTTATTTTTCTCATTAATAATTTGAACGAGTCGACAGGAATGTCACGGTGCTCGTAAATTCTTTAACCTTTTAGGCAAGGATGTCATCTTTCAGAACGACACGCCACTATAGTGGTTTTCACGGATGTCATCGCTCTGGACGACGCGCCACTATAGTGGCTTGCTCTAGTAGCTCACTCGCTCGTCGTTTGAATCAAATAATCGTCTTCATTGTTTCACGCTTCTTTTGTCTTCACATCGATTTACAACAGTCTGCAGGGTGTCCCAAAAATGTCTCGCAATCCGAAAGTGACGGGTTCCTCCTGTCTCTTATACACATCTAGATGTGTATAAGAGACAGTAGTTATAGTATATATATATATATATATACTATAACTACTGTCTCTTATACACATCTAGATGTGTATAAGAGACAGTAGTTATAGTATATATATATATATATATACTATAACTACTGTCTCTTATACACATCTAGATGTGTATAAGAGACAGTAGTTATAGTATATATATATATATATATACTATAACTACTGTCTCTTATACACATCTAGATGTGTATAAGAGACAGGAGGAACCCGTCACTTTCGGATTGCGAGACATTTTTGGGACACCCTGTATATACAGTATCAGACTCTGTACAGTACACATCAGACTCTGCCGTCGAGAGAAATAGCCTCGCGCAGAATTCAGCCGTACCTAAAAGGTTAAATCTCTCTAATGTTATTCGTTTAAATTGCTCAGTTTTGTCATAAATACGTCAAATCCGCAGTCTAGTAGTCGCGAAATTACTTCGGTGAATTATGCGGTATAAAATATCGGAAAAAAATGGTATTAAGCGAATCTGGTTAAATTTGCGGAAGGTCCGGCAACTTTGTCCCGGCACCTGCGCACAGACTTTTTGATTTGATCGATGTTTTCGACGCGCGAGGGTCACGATGCCGACAGTCGGACGGATCCGGCTGCTTACGGCCGACTTGTTCCACTGCCTAGGGTAATATACCGATAAGTTGTCGTTGTTAACGAAAGGTATCCTGTTGCAGTTGCCTGAATAGAGCGGATTTAATCAGAGTGCACGACGGAACGGATACAGGGGCGCCCACAATAGCTGTACTCTGCAACCAAGGAGCGGAAGTAGAAGTACTCAGCACGGGGCCAGATCTGTACGTCGAGTTCGTCGCTAATTCAGAGTGGCCTGGCCAGGGATTCAAGGCGATGTTCCAATTCCAGCCGTTGGACGATGCACCGAATCCTGGTGGGTAACGAACATCATTATCCGCCGGCATTATGAAAATACACCGACACCATTTCCCCGATTCTCTTTCGTTAATTTCGTTCTCGTGTACGCCGACTCCTTCGTCCTCCTTCAAAACCGCGAATCATTTGTCATATCGCGTTTTATTTACCGGTTTCCGTCGTTTAATCCATTACAGTTCGATTTTATTATTCCTGCTAGCGCCGAACCTATCGAGCAGATCGAAATGGCCGCCTCCACGTTCCATGTTTCGAAATTTCTGTTCTAGGGGTGGATCCAAAATCGTGGTACAAAGATAAGTCGGAAAAAAGAACAACATTTTTTCATTCAAGGCTCCGTTTTCGAAAAAAATTCGATTGAAGAAATAATACTGTTGAATAGGAATCGGTGTTTCTGGTCCTGACACACTAATTCTATCGATGTAAAAAGACTAACAAAGGATTAACAAAACTGAATAATTGACTAACTACATCTTGTCGTACTACTTAAATGAAAAAATGTTATTCCTTTTTTCATATCTATTTTTGTATGTAGGATCGTCCCCTGGTCGGTTGTACCACCATTTTGTACCCATCCTGTATAGACTATTTTATATAATAGAAAAGAATTGAATAAATTTCTTAATCCTAATATACAGGGTATCCCAAAAATGTCTCGCATTACGGAAATGGCAGGTTCCTTGGATCATTTGAAGCAGCTTCTTCCTTTACAAAAATGTTCTCCGAGGCACCGTTAACGAGTTATTAACGAAAAAACAGTGACCAATCAGAATCGAGGACGGCTGATTGGCTCGGTCGCCTCGCGCCAGTTGAGCTCGCCTCACATTGGTCATTGTTTTTCGTTAATAACTCGTTAACGGTGCCTCGGAGAAAATTTTTGTAAAGGAAAAAGTTGCTTCAAATGACCTGAGGAACCCGCCACTTTCGGATTGCAAGACATTTTCGGGACACCCTGTATATTATAATGAAAATAGCGAAGGAACTAAACATAGTTTTTCCATCCAGGTAGATTTGGTATTAAATTTGCACGAGTTTCTCTATTTTCTGCTCAGAATCTGCGCTCCTTATAGAAATATGCAGGTGTGTACTCGAGCAGTCACTATGAAAATGAATTCTAATATAGCTTCGCCGAATCGTTACGTCGATAGGACATTTTCAGAGGTATGAGATTTCGATGAAGACTATAGAATTTTGTGCACTTAAAAGAACGTTCGAACCACACACGCAACAACGATCTCCAAACCGCCAGCGAACTCGCTAAAAGCAACGTCCTAGCTCTAATTATGTCCCATTCAGACGAACTTCCAGCGGGAAGACTTTATTGCGTCGCTAAAAGTGCGACAATTTAAAGCGAGCGAACTTTTTCGATTACTTTCGCGGAAGTTCGTAAACGGATTCACCGGTAAACAGTTCAACGAAACGGCTCGGGACCGGCGAAAATAGAGAACTAGTACGGAAAAGTTGATCGTTCCACGGCGCTAAAGCGGTCCCGCCGTTTTTCGTAAATTCCTCGCGTGGTCGGTACGGCAGGCAACCGTCGAAAGCGTTGCGCAAGCTCCTCGCGGAGCGTCGTTACCGAGAGGCGTCCGGAAAGCTCTTCTCGAAGTAGAGCTTGCGGGAAGCTTTCTTCCATCTTTCCAGCCCGGTCGGTAAAGCAGAACGCAAACTTTCCCGGTGTGCTCGCCGTTTTTCTGGTAACTCGTCCGCCGGTTATCTTCCCGGATAAATCCTCCGGGCTTTCGTCGGACGGCCGTGATGTACCAGCGAAGCATTCGCAGATGCCGAGCTTCCGCCGTCGACCGCCGCCATTTTGCAGAGAGTGATTATCGCGCAGTCGATAGCGCCGCGGCGTCCCTAATTAGATAGATCCCTTCAGGCGCGTTCCAGGGACGTCGTAATGAACGATTTGTCAGGATCGATCCGGGCACCGTTTGCCACGCGTCGGCGATGTTAATCGGCCGGTTTTTCGGGACTCGTTCGATCGGGAACGATCAGAATTCCAGGGGCGCGTGTCGCTTGCGAAACGGGCAAGAAATAAGTGGGCGTTCAAGCGTCCGGCTATTTATGGGGCCGATAAATCATGAATGGGGGATCCTTTGCTACGGTAAATTGGCCGTGTTCCATTCGCACACGCGACTCCCAACTGTAATTAACGGCACTGTATATTCCGAGGATAATTACAATAATGTATTTCAGAGCTGGACAAGGTCATCCCAGGGGCCGTTACCGGTAACCCCAAGTACTCGGTCATCGGACCAGCTGTCAGCGCTACCAGTAAGTATATCACTCTACGGCCGACGATTTATTATCCCTCTCAATCAATAATTTCCTCCTCTATTATCGTTCTACGGTCGAGTATTCGCCTCGTAAGTGACTCCGTCTCGCAGATAATCCAACGGATTGATTCCGCTCCGGGGGGACAAGACAAATGTTTAAGTAAGAAAAAGCGAGGGGTGGCAATTTATTAGCCGCTGTTTCACTGGCTCCGGCGAGGGCGAAATGTTTTCGATCCGGCCGGAACGGTATCCTTGATTGTATGATTAAAAGACGGTCCCGAAACGGTTCCAGCGATTTGTCAAACCGCTTTTCAGGGGACGATCTGAAACGGGCCGATTGCTGGCGATCAAATGAATTGAGAGTGCGGTATGATGGCTGCATACACGCGGAATTTAGTTTCGAACGGTACTTTAGGTGTGGCTGACCAGTGATCGCCTTTTCTACTCGAACCTATTCGCGGCAGCGTGCTGCGCTTTTCGATCGAAATTGGTCGGAGCTTGCGCCTGCATTTTGCAGAATTATCTTTTACTTGCGCGGATACGTGGTTTACAATTCTGAACAAAAATCAGAATTAGGAATAATAGTAAATACTGTGTCTCTACGTTTTCATTTAGAGTGGACATATAAATTTGTATTACAGTTTCATTGAAGCGATGCTGTTGTCAACAGCTGCATAAATAATTCATTCATAGTATCTGCAAAAGTTGCTCACTTTTCATCGATCGTATTCTTACTCTTCGTTAATTGCATTTGCTTCGAAAGCAGAAATTGGTAATTGCAGTGTTTCTCAAAGTTTCAGTGTTGTCGTTTATAAAAAATCAACTCGTTTCAGTTGCAACTCTTGCATTCTCAATTCTTTCTACGTTCATTTGAATGCAGAGAAGTGATAAATGATCAACAATATTGTCGTGAAACGTGTTCCCGAACGAAAGTTCGGTGAACGAAGTGCACAAACGGCATGCATTCAGAATTTACGTTTCGTATTCTTATTTAAAGTCCTATGAAATTTTTAGTGTCTTATAAAATGCGTAAGCGAAGGAATTCATTTCAGCACCGACGAAATAATAAACCGTGACGCACAGTATGTAGTTGATCATTTAATTTGTATCACGCCCGCGATGAAAATTAACAATGCCACCTGCAGTGTTATGGGACAAATTTCATAACTACTTCATTAATAAATTAATGCTTGGAGTGCCTATATGCACACATACACACACATATACATACTTTGTTACTTATTGCAGATATTTCTACTAACCAAAGACAAGCAACAACATATTGTGTAGATCTCGAAAATGTGTGAAATATTCAAACGAGATTCTTAATTCCGAAACGAATATCTTTGTGTTCTTGGCAAGTTAATTTTACAGTAATGAAACTTCCACATTCATCGACGTCTAGCGACAGAATATCTAATTATCGGAAATTATTAATAACGTTGCACGAACAATATATTTGTAAGCATAGTTTACGCTATTCAGCAGATTATACTCTTTTAATTTATTAATAGACGTTCAATGATCTTCTGCAACAAATTCGCAACAAATTCGCAACAGGTTCGTCAAGTGAAATAATTTAGCAAATTATATGTACTTATTCAATTAATTATGTTTTCTGCAGTATTTTGCAGTGTGATCGCACTGTTTTAGATATGACATGCACCAACACGTGCTACATTTTTAAACAAAATAACGCGTTCCAAGCGTTTTTAATTTACGATTGCTGAAATTGAATATGAAAGTATCGAAAATCACATTGGTTAATATTCCACAGAAAATATATTTCCAACACCGGTGAAATTGATATTATTCAACAATGATTTCTTTTTAACAATTTCTCAACAAGTTTGTCGATAAAAATAAAATAAATTCGTTCGAACCGACCGTAAATTAATATATTTTAATTAACGTTTAAACAAGGAACGAACCAGACGGCTACCGTTTGTTATAAACACAGTATTTTTAACATTCGCGATCATTTCGTTGCTCCAAACCAATTTCCACTTTTCACACGGTACGTTTTCAATAGAGAAATATGCGAGCTCGTGTGCTCTAGCTGCAAGATCGATAGAATTTTCGCCAAGTACGGTCTCAGGAGCAAAACTAGCAAATTACGCGCACTCGTTTCGCGCAACTCGAGCTTTCCAATAAGTGGTAGAAATTTTTTACGCGGACTCGCGAGCCATTCCGCGCGCATCGTCATACATATAATAAAATAGTTATCGAACCGATGTAAAATTTTACATCGCCCGGCAAGTTTCACTCCCGGGGATAGCTACGAAATAAACGTTGTAACGACGTTGTGGCGGTGGCTGCTGCTGCTGTTGCTGCTGCTGCCACCGGTATTATTCAAACAGATTATTTTGATGTTTGTTGCGCGAACGCAGGTAGACGTACCGGCAACGATATGATTTCCCTCGGAGTTCTTTGAATATAACTTCACCGCCGACTCGCATAAACTTTGCGAACGGTGTGTACTTTCGGAGTCATCAACCGTGGGCGACGTACGCCGCGAAGCACGGGGGCCGCGACCAACTTTATATCTTTTCCATGAAAATAAGTTCCTTAGATTAGGAGAGCGGGGCCACTAAACTAAATTATTCGGCTGACAAGTACAAGGTGATCCGGCCTTTGTGTACGAAGCCCCACGAAGTTTCGAAACTTCAACGGTCCGTATCGATATTTACACGTGATGCCTCTTGCCTCGCTCCGACGTCTGGCAAAACGACGAGACGCGACGCGATGCGACGAGACGCGGCGACCGCGACCGCTCCTTGTTTTCCGTGGACATAAACTACCGCACTAAAATCGAACTTCGAGACTTACGAATTTTCTGTCAACGAAGAATTTCGGCGAAGTTGCCGCGATCCGCAGTAATAAATTCCCGGGGCTTACGGGTCGCCGTTTCATTGAAATGTTTGCGGATACAAGGAACTTTTAAACATCGCAGTTACGCGAGTTTACTGCTACACGATGCCCGGTAGTTAGCGCAGTCTGCTCTGACCTAATTAAATTCGTTTGGTCAGCGTATCCGTGACATGTAAATTAATATCAAATATAGAGCACGCCAGGGGTAGCAGAATATTGTTTTTCACGGCGACGTTAAGGAGAATGAATCGCTCGTCCCTGTTCTCGTCACTTCGTTAAATCGACTCTGAACATTTTTCTGAAGACGAAGATAACGGCGGGAAGCAAATGCCAAGGAAATTTCTTTACGAAGCTGACGAAACTTTTATCCGTTGCAAAGTCATTTGACGGTTTCAGAAGTATTAGATTGTCGCAATCGAATCGCGGCTTTTTTTTGTTTTTAGGTGAATCTTTTATTCAACGAACCTAATAAACGTTTCTTGAATCAAAATGGCCTCTTTCGACTTTAATACAGTTTTTTCAATGAGATACAAGAACGTTAATGTCGTTTTGAAAATAGTCGGATAAACGATAAATTCAGTAAATGTGGTTTTTCTATAATTTTTAAATGAATCTTCTATTTAACGTACTTGATAAACGTTTCTTGAATAAAAATGGTCTCCTTCGACTTCAACATAATTTTTTCAACGCGATACAAGAGCGTTAATGTCGTTTTGAAAATAATCGGAAGAACGATAAATTTAGTAAATGTTTCCATGTTTAATAAAAAGGAATTTCAAGTATTGCACGATATTCGTAAAAGCGTGTACGATAACATATATTGACATATATTTTTCGAATTATGCATATGCAACAATCTAATACTTATGCGATTGAAAGTATCAAAATAAAAAGATGATCCAATTTTCTAATCCGATAATAAGAGATCGAAATTGCTAAAATCGACTGAACAGTTCGATTTCTACCGAAATTCTTCGAACTATTCATTTCGATGTGAATTCATCTGCAGAATTTCTAATACCGCAAACTCCTGTTACTATATTTTTATGCTTCATTTCCCGAACTTCGCTTGTTGCAAAATCAGCGATGCGTGCGTCTTACTGGCTGGCTTTCACGCTGCTGCAACTGAAATTCGCGGATACGCCTTAAAAATCCGAGAGAAACTTCGAGTTTTATTGGTACGTCGTCAGTATTTTTCGCTTGGCTGCGTTTCATATGTAAGTGTTCGGAATTTTTTACTCTTCGGCTCATTGCGGCAACGGGAAAGTCGGGAATTTAGATTAGAAGATCCCGCTGTCGTTCGTTCACTCCGACATTTATTCCAGAAAATCTTCTTTCGCGTCGACGGTTACTTTCTTGCTCGCGATATAATGCCATCCAAAAATATACGATATTTCAAACAATTTCGTCGATACGTATACATTCATCGCAGATGAATTTTTTGTGTTCCTACAGAAACACGGTAAAATGTAATATCGAAGCGACGTCCATAGTTATTTATTTCCACGATTTTCTCATTTTTACTCAAATTATTATAATTACCTATTCAAATTATTTTCCCGTGTCTGATTACAAATTACGTTAAAGCGATGCCAATAACACGGCGAAAAGTTGAAATTGCAATTGCACGATCTCCGATATAATCATTTTTCCTTAACATTTTAATTGCCGAACAACGAACCAGAAATTCGACGAAATCGAAATACATAATCCATTCTATGAAAAAAAGGAAGCTTATAAATTGGTATCCACCGTTCTGATTACTTTCAGACGATCACTGAATTTCACGCACTGGCATATACCCGAAAAATCGCTGTTTAAATCTGTCCCGATAATTGCGTCAATCACGCCCAGCAATCATCCCCCGTTGAAGGAAAAATTTCGCCTGAAATTATTATCGATGTTATAAAACGCGTGCTCTCCGGCGCTCGACAAGCTCGCCGGCTCGGGCTTGTGCGCCGTTCAAACTCATTAAAAGAAAGTGTCGTACAACGATTTCCAGGCGCAGATATTCGATGAAACGCGTCGGCGATAACACGCGATCGCCGGAAGTATCGTTAAAAAATTTGTCGGCGGCTCGCGAACCCGGGGCCATTTCGCATTATAAAATTGCTCGAATGCCTGGCA